TCAAGGGAAGCTGAGCACATCATGCAAAAATTCGGGATAAACATTTTAAGATTTGTCAGAAAAGTGCACAATAGACGCTCATAAAATTTATCTGAATCTATAAAAACTGCGTAGAATCCAGAAATCTTTAAACAAAAAATCCCGAAACCTTCGAGTCTTCAAATAAATTTTTACGACTTCAGATAACAATTCATCCGAAAGAAAGGAAACCGACTCCCGATAAATAAAGAGTATGTACATAGCTAAATAAATAAATAGGTCAGATTGGATGATAGTATGAGAGTGAAATTTCCCTATAGTAAAATAAGCAGTAAAAAGCAGTTTTGACATGACACAAAGGAATTGAGGAAGCTAAGAAGCATCGCGTTAAAAATAAATAAAATCAAAAAAAAACAATTTTTGGTATTTTTATTTTTTTAAAAAGAAAATCATTTATTTTTCTCATTATTTAAATTAAGCATTCTTTCAATGAATTCAAAAAATAATAATTATTTAATAATATAAAAAACAAACAACACAACAAACTTAATTCTTTATATAAAAAACACAAAAACAATTTTTTTTTCTCTTTTCAGTAGTTTGTCTCTGTATGTATAAAAATATAAAAAAAAAATCTTAGTTTAAAAACTTTTTTCTTTTTTTTTTATCTCAGGCTTAATGTATGCAAAATGCAGAATTAATAAAAAGAGAGAATTGAAGAGAAAAAAATATAATAATATAAAAATTACAAAATAAAATTAAAAAAAAGTTGAGACTGGTTTACTTATCTATTCCATATTATTATTTTTTTTATATATATAAAAAAAGCATTTTTTGTATTTCTTTTTTTGTTCTGCTTACTAAAATTAATTAATAAAATTGCTACATGCTTTAAAAATGTATTCATATCTACTATTATGCTCATGTTTTTATACTGGATTATAATCAATAAATTACTAGAAAAAGACAAATCTAAAATTCAATAGATTCAATAATTTATTGACTATAAAATGTAGCGCAAACTGAAGAACGTACATATTGTGGGTGTGTATGTGTATTTATGCAGTGTATGTGGATTATGGAACTATTATCATTTTTTTTTCATTAATTTAAAATGACACTTTCAGAGAACTCTTTTTTTGTCGTCTTATCCTTACTATATGCTAAAATAATAATAATAAGACTTACAATTAAAATAATCAAAAAATGTGAAATAGTTGCTTATTAAAAACTTTTTCAGAGAGAATTGCTGTCAGATAATATTTAAAAATGACTGAAAAAAACACTACTATGTCTATTATAAATTATGGTCTATTGAATGGCATTAAGAATTGTATATCAATTGAATTTCCTAAGCTTTAAAAAATTTCTATAACAAACAAAAGATTCAAATCAATTTGACTTAAGATTTAAGGAATACTATTCAATTTTTTTAGAATTTCATTGTGTTTGGTAATTTTAGAGGTGAATATTAGGTGAAAGGACGTAGACCCGAAGAGGAATTGACTATTTTAAAATAGAATTTTTTTATTGAATTTGAATAGGATTTGTTGGCAATATCATTTGTCAAACTTTTAGTACAGTAATCAGGTGTTTTTTCGTCCTCTGCAGATCTACAAGCTTACAATCTATTCACCCCTAAAACTCTCAAATCATCCCAAAATTTTGTTTTATACAATCAATAATTTTTTTTGTGGTGGCTTTTTTTGTAAGTGTAAAATGTAATATGGAAAAATTAAAATAAAAACAAACTTATGACCTATGAAAAAAGAATTAAAAAGACAAAAAACAAACAATTTGTAAGATAATTAAATAATTAATTAAGAAGAGATTTTTTTTCGATAATATTTCGAGTTTTTTTCCTTAAAAAATGTATTAGTTCCTATTTTAATTATTTTTTTTTTCTTTTACTTATCACAACACATCCAAATAAAATGCACAGATAAAAACTTTGCGACAACCCTGAATCAACCATAATAGATATAAAAAATTGTGAAAGAGCAGAGAAAAAAAACTATGAAATAATCTTACGAAACTTGATATTTCTCAGTATAATCAGTAATAAATATATTTTCGTTCTTGAAGTTCTAGTCGATGTCGAAAAAGTCTCCAAATTTGAGTGATGGAAACAGAAATTTTTTATCGGATGGCAAAAAAAAGTTTTTTTATTCTTCCTGACCCAAAAAGTTTTCTTAAGTCACTCGAGGAGAAATTTTAGACATCAAGTCAGAAGATCCACGTGTAATAAAAAAAATATTATGCATCTGTAATTGGAGTGAATATGTTTCGTCATTAAGGTAATTAATCAATCATCATTAAAAATTATTTAAACAGGTAAGCGAACACTCCAAATAAGAAGAAAACTTACTTATTATTTATTGGACACTACACGAACGTAAATTTGTGTGTAAAATTTTTTTCTCATTCAAATTTAATATATGTAAAAACAAGCATAATATTTTATACAGTATCAAAAAAAAATTCGTTTTTTCCATACTTTTCGTAATAGAATTTTTCTTTTTGGAATTTTTTTGTTTATCATTTAGTTTCTCACAAAGAAGAAGCAAACTTCATCGAAAAAAAAAAACTTTTCAAACATAAATTTTTCTCATTTTTCATTACTTTTTTGGCTCCAATAATACATTTCAATTAATTAATTTATTTAAGTATTTTTTTGTCTCATTAAAAATTTAGGGAGTAAAGAATTGATTTTAATTGAATATTTTCCAATTATTTTAAAAAATCTTTCTCCCTTTTAAGAAAACGTCAAACCAATTCTCTAAAAACCAATCTTTTGTTCTCAATTGTTCACTAGATTCAACTTTTAAAAATTTTGAAAAAAAAACCTTTTTACTTTAAATTATTCCTTTCGAAATTTAAAGAAAATCTTTGCTAGGGTGAAATTGATGGGAGATAATAAAATGCCAGAGGCAATTTATTAAAACTCTACACGATATATCGTTTTCCCATGCAATTTAATAATGGATTTGAAATTAAATTTCTGCAATTTTAAAAATTCTAATTAAGGAATTAAAGAAAAGAAATGAGAATTATACTAGTCGATACTTTTTTTATGCCCTTGCAATTAACATTCTTCTATAGAAAATAGAAATAGTGAAATATAAAAGTATTACGCATTGAAAACATTGCAAAATCACCTCGTAATTTATATAGGTAGTCATGAGAAGAAAAGTTTCATTTCTCTCGCGATATTTTAATTGTAGAAATTATCAAGGAAATGGGATTTTTATATTGAATTTGAAAAAAATTAATGAAAAATAAATTGAAATGCATGAAAAATTAATTCATCTCAATTTATTTCACTTTATTTTATTACAAATTCAATTTAAAAAAATTCCGATTTTCCTGAATTAAAAAAATTAATTAATTTATGAAGAAATTCTTTTGATTTTCTCAACTAGAATTCGTTACAATTTTTTTCATCATTTTTTTTATCATTGTGTATATGTATGTATGAGTGTATACGCATAATCTACTAGTAAAAGAAGAGATATATCATATGTCTTCCCTTAAAAATATTCTTTAATTTAAATATATATCATGAAAAACGTGAAAAATTACAACAAATATCCATCATTATTTCACTTTTATATAAGTTTAATTAAGCAGTAAGTTTTTTTTCATTAAGAAACATTATAATTGTAAAAAAATACCTAAGAATTTTTACTTTCAGTCAGCAAAGTTTTTTACTTTTTGTTTTCCCGAATTTAAATTTAAAAAAAAAATTGTGAACTTTTTTTTTAAATTAAAAAACTAATTAAAGAAACATGCAGATATTGAGAAATAACGTTTGATTATATGATTATATAGAGCATATCGGAGATTTCATAATCAAACATTCACTAACGTATTTATATTTATTGATATCGCATTAAAATTTAATTAATTAATATAAAAAAAATTATTAAATGCCACTTTTTTTCAACTTTGAATTTAATCAATATTTTTTAAACTTTCATTTCATATGTTAAGAATTTTTTTTTTTTTCATCTTTCATCGTAATTAAAATAAAATTTACTTCTTTTTTTATACAGCATTAAGTGGTTCCATATTTTTCCTTATAAATTGTTCCTTGATCAGTCATTTCATTTTTTTTATCATATTTTAAAATATACTTTTTAATAAGAATCATCATTATATTATTGGTTACAAAGGACGCGTACTCAACAAATTCCTGTCGCTTTTCTGCTACGATTGCAATAAATTAATGTGAAATTTAAAAAAAACTTATTTGACTTCTTTTTTTTTGGCAACAATAGCAGAAAAACAAGAGATTTCGACAAAAGTTTTATATCATTTTGTTTAAAAATGAAATTCGAGCTAGTATCATGTTTGTTCGTACAGGTCAGATTTACACATGTAAGCACATGTTTGATATGAGCAAACAAATATGATATTAGTTCAATGATGTATTTTACGTTTACTTGTGTATTCCCTAAATTGTTCATAAATTAATTTTAATTAATATTAAAAATCTAATACATCAATCTAAATTTTACAGAAAACAACAGAAACTTCTACGATGATTATAAAAATCAATGATGTTTGTTGTATAGACTAATTAAAAATGTTTTGATACAATAATTATGTTGTGTGTAAAGTTCTTCTTCATTTCCTCACTTTTTTTTCATACTGTTTTAACTTTTTTTTTGTGTGTGTATATTTTATGTATAAACAAGAATGATGGTAATGTAACATGAGCGTTAATTCAATTTATATTTTTATTTTCTTCGTAGGATTGTGTTTACTCAGTTTCTTTTTTCAGGATTCGCTGATTAATCATCTATTTTTATTAATATCAATTTTTGCCCATCATAGTTTTTTATTTGATAGGAAAAATGTTTATTATTTTGTTGTTTGGGAAGGAGAAAAAAAAGAAAAAAAAAACATTGATTAAATGATGTTGAATTTGCAGAAATAATATTTATCTTCGAATAAAAAAAATGAAGTAGGAAAATTGATAACTTACCATGAAAAAGAATGTGAAAGTCTTTTTAGTTTTACAATCCAATTGGAGGAACTTGAACGTAACGATATATGTATAAACGATAATCCTTACTGGCCAAAACAACACTTCCATCATCCATTAATGCAACATCGAAGCACTGTGCATGTTTCACTTTACTCTCCAACGCTGATACTAGCTGTCCATCTTGTGTAAATATTGTTAAATTAAAGTTATTATGATTGTCTGCAATGAGAATCTCTCCATTTGCATTTATTCCAACGCCTATTGGATAGTTTGTTATTCCTTCGCCTCCGATTTGCCGCAAGAATGTTCCTTCATAATTGAATACCTTAACACAATGTGCACGATTGTCACTAATAAAGATTTCCTGTTTATCATTAACTACAACGCCATTGGGAAATTCGAGGTGCTTACTGCATCCGAATTTCTGTAAAACATTTCCATTCTGATCGAAAATGATGACTCGCATAACTTTACATTCGACAACAATAATACGTCCCTTGTTATCAACAGTGACACCACGAGGATGCTGTAAAATATTGGCACCAAATTTGCGCACAAATTGACCATATTGATTATATATTTGAATTTGATGTGTTGGTGATCTTTCTGTAACAATAATATCGCCTGACGTGCGAACAACAGCAACACGATTAGGGTATAATAATTGACCATCTCGTTTTCCACATTCTCCAAACTGAAATTTAAATCGTCCCTCCTTATCGAAAATTTGAATACGATGATTGTTAGTGTCAGCAACAATAATGTCATTTTGAGCATTAACTGCAACGCCACTTGGCTCCGTAAATTGACCTTCCATAACACCGAACTCGCCAAACTTGCAATGATAAATCATTTTTTGACGCTTAATTTGAGACTTTGGTGGAAAGATTGTTGTTGAGATAAGCTTATTAGTAAGATCTAACATTGAATCGGAATTTCCCGATGAGAGAGTATTTAGTGTCATAAGTGTATTGGGTCCATTTCCAATATTATTATTATTCATATTATTGCCATTCATTGGGCCCATCGACGAATACTGATCAGGCATATTTCCAAATATATTATCTGACATACCATTACTCCACTTCTCATACGGGTTTATATTATTCGGTGTTGTCTGTTGATTCATAATCAAATCATTACCAATAAATGGTCCCAAACTATTAATACTTGTAAAGCGTTTGCTTAAAATTGAACCTGTGTCAAATGTCGAATGCATTTGATTTGGAGATGATGAGGAAGTGATTGCTGAGTTGCTTGAACTACCTCCATTTGAGAATGGTCTTTCAATATTTCCCATACCACCATTGTGACAGCCATTTAGCATATTTTGTGTCATAATGCCATTCATACTACCATTCGAGCTTGGTGGGCTGCTTCCATTGGTTAGTGTACTTGTTGGTCTTGCAATCGGTGGTTGTTTTCCTGTCACCGACTCACTATTCGATCTAATATAGCCGAATGTATTTCGTACTCCAACTTGTATCGCCTGATAATTTGATACAAAATCTAATTCGTAAATTGACTGTAAGTCATTAATGCTCGACATAAACGTCTGTAATTTTGTCTCCATTATACGTCGTAATGTACTTAATTCATTTGGTCCAACACTACGTGCAAATTTCTCAACACAATCGCATGATGTAAGAACTTTCTCAATCTGCTCTTGTGATTTGGTCAATAATACTGATTGTGACATTGTTTTGGCATTATAGAAACTGTCCAATTCCTTGAGCAATTCCTGTTTTCGTTCATCCAACATCGAACGATAAAACTGGTATGTTTCGTTTATTTCATTTTGCGCTTTGTGGTACTGTATTTGGATACGAGTTGAATTATGTTCATTGCTCTTGAACATTTGTTTCATATCTTGAGCTTTAATGCGAAGATCATTTATGAGTTGCAACAATGATTCGACCATTTTTGGTGTCTGATCAGGGTTGTGTTCGCAATCGTGAAGACCTGTCTGATGATCAATTACCATACAATCCTTACAAATCGACATCGAGCATGTGCGACAGTAGAATTTTAATAATTCATTTGTATGTTTGTTGCAATAATAACGATTTGATTTATTCAAACCAGCACTCTGCAAAATGCTGTCTGCATTTGATAATGCCAAATTTGTTAAAGGTGGAGATGGAGCGGAATTATTGGAAGTCTCGTGTTTACCAATATTCAATGGAGGTGGTGCAATTATTGAATTCATCATTGATTTAATCATGTGGCTTGAATCGTCTTTTCCTGATGGAATTAGACGATCAAATGTGTTCATTTTATGTGAAAACAATTCGTTTGTTGATACTGTCGTCGGTGGCGTTAAGTGATTAATACGAAAAACACTATGACCATTAAAACAATGCATATACTGATGAGCTGTGACACAATTTGCGCATAAATAGTTTACACAATCAATGCACTTTGCAACGGCATCAGATTTCTTATTTTTACAGCCTGTACAACGTGGTGCGTAGAAAGATTCAGCTAATGTTGCTGATTGTGCGATGGCTGCCGCCAATGAAGTTGCGTCACTTGAAATCGGATGTGATGAGTCGATACTGCTATTACTGTTGCTTGTCAATAAAAAATCATCGCAAATTCCCGAATCAGGTGGTGAAGTTCCCGAGCCCGTTGTGAGCGGAGAATCACTGAGATAATCTGTCGCTGGTTCGCCAAATGATGAGTTTGTTGTGGCACCTGGTAATGAATCTAATGAAGGAGTTGGAGATGATGAGGCCATTGCTTGATGAACATCAACAATTGACGTAATTATTGGGCATGGCCTATTACAGATTCGTTCTCGGTCAAAAATTTCTTCTCTATGTTTTTTTATTCCTTCTTTCTTTTTGGTTTCTTTTCTTCTACTTGATATATTGATTGAATGATTGATTGAATTAATATCAACAATTAAATTTATTTAACGTCTTCTTTCTTTCCTCCTTCCAATTGAATTCCAATTTAAGTCTTTTAAATTTCAATAAATACTTTTTCTCCTATTTTGTTGTTTTTATATCGTTTTCTTAATGATGCTGATACCTTTTTTAATAACAAAAGGATTATTTCGTGGAACTGTAAAGAATAATAAATAAAAGATTCATGAGTATAATTCATATGAAAGGCAATAAACTCTTGAAAAAAAGAAATAAATAAAGAATAAATAACAAAGAAGCAGAAATTTTTAATGAGCGATTTAAAAGCGAATGAGGTTGTTGTGCAGCATAATTGATAACTCTCATCGTATATGAACTTCTAAATGATGAACCTGAACTTCATTTCAATTACAATGTATTTGTCAGTTCAGAAAAAAAAATATTACGCATTAATAAACTCATTCGCTGCAAACTGAATTAAATATGTATGTATACACAGCAGCATATGTTACATGTAAGCACTTTCGTTGTATAATGAAAAATACATTCATCTCTCATTTGCAATCATTTGCATATTCCGCTGCTTTTATTTTTCACTTTCAGCGAATTATAGAAACTCTTTTTATTCTACAGAATTTCACTTCTGTTCTGTTTATTTTACTCTCCACAATTTAATGCTTTTGCTAAAAATACATAGTTGAGCATATTGCAATATCATATTTTGCTGTCGTCAGGTGATTCATTGGAAGCAAATGCATTTATGATACTTTTATTTTTATTCTAAAATGCATGTGATCATCCTGCTAAGCAGGAGTGGAGCTAGGCCTGAGGGGGATCCATTTTCTCACATACAAATTTCAATATTTATTAGGAAGATAGGTTTAGACCCCATTAGACGCTTTCCAACCCTGAACACATTTACAGCCATTCATACAAAATCACAATACATTTATAATGAGTTTTGTTTATTGCAGATACAATAGAATAATTCTTTTTTTTCTGCAGCACAGTTCAAGTTTCAAAATACTTTATTTATATTTATAGTGCAATAATTTAAAATAAATTTATTGAAAATAAATTAAATGAGTTTATATTTCAGTAAAAAAAACAATTAAGCATGTTTGAAATGTAGAAATAGTTAATAAGGTTACTGAATGATTGATGATAAAGTTTTAAATTTATCACTGCAGTATAGTTAGAAGTTTTTGAGAGATGTCAAGTTCTAGACTCTTATTTGACAATAAAGTTTTGAATCCCACTTAACACAATATTCAGTAATCAAATTTATAACCTCAAAAACCCATCAAAAAAAATCAATCAAATAATTCAAATTAATGTCGAAAACTACACACACAAGCAATTAATAATCGGGATAATTTATAGCTCATATTCTCTCTCGCTCGAAAAACAATTAATTTTAAATGATCGAAAAAAAATAATAAAGAGTCGCAGTGAATAGAAAAAGCAAATAAATAATTGATTTCCCGCCATTAATAACGCAAACAATTCAATTGTTTTACAAAATTATACATTTTTTTACCGTAAATTTGAACATAACTCATGACATAATGATATTAATATTTTGGAATCATTGATATGGGGTGGAAAAATGAATTATTGATTGAAATCTGATGACTAATTTTCTACAGAAAAAGTATTCTTTACTTGACTTAATATCATCATCGTCATCGGCAACAGCTTTTCTGGCTGTTATTTAATGCTTGCTGATGAATTAAAAATTAAGTTAAATTAATGCACCCTTCTGATATTTCATGATAAAGGCGAGTCGAGTGTGTAACTAAGAGCAACTAAGAACATTCACAGATGTTTACAATTTTATTCATTTTAATATGAACCCCATTTTTCAATTTTTCATTAAAGCCAAACAATTGGGAATGGAATGAATGAGGCTGAGAAGGAAAATTATCAAATAATCCCATAAAAATGCAGCTTTTCCATTCCACCCTAACAGTAGTCGAGTAAACAACAACAACAAAAACTTTTTTTTTTTGCACATACAAATTTTGTAATAGTGTCATCTACGGAAATTAAATTGAGATTTGCTCTTTCATTAACAAAACAAAACACAATAATAATAAAACTAGATGGTGAATAGGAGTAAAAACAGCAGTAACAAACGGCAAATGTTCGACTCGTGCACTCAATCTAGATTTCATCGTCACAGAGAAGAGAAAAAAAAAGTAAAAAGAATTTTTAATCTATTAGCGTATGAATGTGTCGACCCCTAGAGCGCACCATACTCAAACACATGTATTATTTGCAGCTGCCATTTCTAAATTCAAATCCCCCAAAAATGATGTTGTTATTAGTACGTATATGTACATGCATAGGCCGTCTGTCTCGATTCTCTTGCCTTTTATATTCCTTTCATTCACGCACATATTTCACAAACACACATAATTTTCTAATATATCACATTCATATTTTTTTTTCTCTCTTTATGTACATTTATTTTATTTTATTTTTTTCTAAAAAAGGAACGAAGAAGAAATGAAAATGAAATGAAGAGAAAAAAAACGAATTTCATGGTTGAAGCATAGAAAATTTATTTTTGTGAACAGATGATAGAAGAAAAACACATAATATGTATAATCTTGTGCACTTGAAAAACGATCACATTCTACATTAAATCTACCTTTCTACAAAAGAAGAAAAGGAAAAAGAGCATAAACAGAAATGTGAATAAATAAACTTTTGATAATTGCTTAGTTGAGCACAAAAGAAATTAGCATGGCAAAAGGATTTTTGCAGCCTTTTTTACACTTTGCTTTGTTTCGAATTATGCTTTTTTTTTGGTCTAGGTCGCTTTGTGGTGTGCTCAATCTACTGTGTAAATGAATTTTTCATTTTTCATGTTTTTCAAATAAATAACTTTGGGCAATTTTGTGAAAAACTTTGTTGGAATAATGGAAAATCAACAGAAACCCCTTTGGGAAATTTTAGTAGAATTTGTGTGAATTTGTTTACATGAAGTTTTAATTGGGGATGCATTGTATAATTTAGGAATGAAGAATTGATAATTTTTGGCACAATGAAATTGAATGCAATGATCTAATTTGAAGAGATGCAGATTAGATCCTAAATAGTCTGTTAAAAGGTTCAAATCTTTTTTTAAGAAATAAAAAATTTTTTCAAAAAAATTCAATTAAATTAATTTTTTATTTATCTTTTAAAAAAATAATTTATGAGCCTCATGCAAACGAAACATTTTATCCAGAGTAAAAAAACACCCAAAGTGTTAATAGAAATATGTTTTATTTACATCATCAAACGTATTCATTTAGCCCTAATACATAGCATCTCATAAATATCTCATTCGTAATATAAGTAAAAATTGTTTCATCAGAATAAATTTAATTAAAAATTTATTTTCTTATAGGAAGCAACACAAAAGAGAAGAATTTGCGCATGCTTAAGTGCTAATAATGATGATAATAAGGACAACGATAGAGAAGAAGGAAAAAATTTCATTAAACAAAATTTACTCAAAAAATTAATGTTTCTGTCTCATCCCCATGAGCGAATTTTCAATGAATAAAAGGAAGCAACAGAAGAGAAGTAAGCAAGTTAATGGAAATAGCATTGAATGCCATAAGAAATTGAGAAACAAGTGCCTTGAGTTCTCCCTACAAAAAGAAAACAAAAAAGTAAATTTTTCTTCTTTCTATTCCTAGTTTCTGTTTATTAAGCACATAACAAACTTTAACATGTCTTTCTCCTCTTTTCAGATCCAATGAGAATCATTTTAGAAGAAGAAAATGCTTGTGAGCATTTATTGAATGAAATAGAAAATCATAAAAGCCGTAAGACTAAACCAGTGAGGGTGGAAAAGGCAAGTTTATCCACATTACCTTCTTCTCTGATTACAGAAAAACACATCGAACGATTATTATTACGCAGAGTAATAACAAGAAAAGGACATATATAAAGGTTTGGTAGCTAATTTAATCAAATACTTATATTACATGATGAGGGACATGTGTGACATGTTTATATAAAAATGTAGCAATCGTAGGAGTGATTAAGATATTCGGTACCATACCTTGCCATATTAATAAAGAAACTAACGACTAAAAATGCTAAAAAGCCACAATGACGTCAAGTCTAGAGAGGGGTCATTGCTAAATAAACACAATTATTTTTGTGGTGTGTACACTATAATAATAATAATCCAACAAGCACAGGTTTAGGTTTTTTAATGGGAAGCCCTTAACTACATTTTTTCTTTCATTTATATTTCTTTATTTCATCGTACACGTACGAAGTACATTCAAGTGCGGGAAAAACGAAATGGCAGAATTAAAGAAAATGAAATAAAATTAAAGTTAAAGTTGAAGGCATTCAGTGAGGGGTAGAAAATGAAAATGGATAAAGAAGGAAATGAACATTTTCGATTAATGAGAGCTTAAAAAGTTTCATATTTTTTTTTGTTTCTTTCTCTTTTCAGGAAGTCGAATTACACTCAAAAAAGAATTTACCCTCACTTCTGCTTTTCGGGTCAATCTATTTAAGCATTCAAGTGATTTTGTTGGAAACTTTACGTGATATTGTAACTTGTACAATTTGTAAGTTTGTATGATTTTTTAAAAGATTTCTGTTTTGTTTTAATGTTGAAATGATTTAAAGGAGATTTGTTGCGAAAATTGTTAAATACCAATCTTTTAAGTTTATATTAAAGTTTTGTCAAATTTGGAGCAAAGACTTATTAGCTAAATCGGTAGAGCATGTGACTTGTAATCCAAAGATTAAGGTTCGAATCTTTCCTGGTAAAACATAAATAAATAACATTGAAACTTAAAAACTGCTATAATAAGCTTCCATCCCTGAAATATTCTTCATTCCAATATTAAAAATCCTCAAGTGCCATTTGCGCGAAATAAAAGCTGTTTTTTTTCTCCTTAAAACTTCCATTATGTTTGTTTAAAAGAAGGTATCACCCCACCTCCTTTCATTTGAAAGGATTCATGTAATAAAAAATTTAAATTTAAGTAGAGCATAATCATTTTCATGTGCACATTTTGTTGAGTACTAAGAAGTGATATTGAGATTGGCAAACAACTAAAAAGAAGCGCTAGCGCTAGATTTTTATGTTCTTTCACTCTGTTTTCCTTAAACTTTACTTTTTTTTTTCCTTAGTATACCGCTCGAAAGTCATAAAAGAATCATAAAGATTGTGTTGCATGAGTCCACGCGCTCAGTGCCGCATATCTCTCTCTCTATATCTATATTATGTTTCTAAGAGTACATTATGGAAAACGTAGATGTAAAAAAAATTGGCAAGCATCACATTGACTGTGATTTTTATGTGCTTTGCTTGCAACTTAAATTCTAAGACGCATAAAAAAAAGTTTTAAAAAGAGATAAAAATAACCTGGGTGGTCTTAAAAAAGTAGATGGAAAAAAAAATTTTAAAATTCATTCCATTTAAAAAAAATTTCATCATCTGACAAAAAAAAATAAAGTAAATTTAATCACAACAAGTGCATTGAGCCTGCTTCCATATCCGAGTTGATTATATTCCAGTGAAATGACAAATGTCGAAAATGTGTTTACCAAAAGAAAAGCAAAAGAATTACGTCTTCTTCTTTAACTTAAGTTCGTGTGTCGAAATGTTTTCATTTTAATTCTTCCATCAGTGAGAAAAGAAAGCCGTAGAAGATGAGAATAAATGTAAATCAAGAAACCCCGTTTTTATTATTTTTCCTTTCCTTTTTTTTTACTGTTGCTTTGCTACACAAAAAAAAATAACAACCACATCTCATTCCATTCGCGAAGCAACACCCGCCCCAACCACTATGGAAATATTTTTCATCCCTTTTTCTTTTTTGTGGGCTGATTTTCAAGCTTTTTCTTCCTGATTTTCATTTCATTATATATTTTTCCATTCAATTTCTATCTTTTAAGGCTTTTTTTGTTTCAAACAATGGAGCTTTTTTTAGTCATTTTGACTTATGTAGGTGAGATGAGTTGAGGATTACGTGGGTAAGAGGTTGTGAGAGTGAAAATGTAGTGAAAAAGGTGATTTTTGACATTTTAGAAGCTGAATAGGCGCGAAAGGTTAGTTTTTGACGTAGAATGTAGTATCTTGGGAGTCACGGAGCATAATTAGAGTAGGGTTGGATTAGATGCTAGGAAATTGGTATTTCGTTTTAAAATTGACGTCATTAAACATGAAATTAAGGTTTGTTCTTAGTAGAAATAATTTAAAATCACGGTCTTTTATCGATCAGATACTAGAACACCCCAGAAATCTTCTCAATTGCACCTCAATCTTTTCTAAATGCGTCTCAATATTCCACTCAGAAAAAATATCCTTTACATCTTTCTCATCGCTATTCAATTTTTTGTAGCCACGAAAAAAATAAAAAGTTGGAAAAATCTGAAGAGAATAATTTTCTTTTTATATCACGCAATATTTGCTTACTTTGCCTCTTCTCATTTCAAGAGCTTTTTTTTGCTTTCGTCTTTCCTTCCTTCTTTTTCTTCCTCAAACATCATCCAAGAAAAGAATTCTTCCATTTTTATCATATCTCATTTCTATTGCCTTTTATTCACAAATTTCATATGTTTGGGATTGAATAATGGGGTCAATTACATATGATGTGTATTTTTAAGGGGTGTTAAGTTAGGTCTTAGTGACAGTTCAATACAAAATTAAATTTTGAATTAAAATAGACATCATTTGAGAACAAACCCTCTAAGAAGAAAATATGATGGATATGAAAAGAAGATTTGTTTGTAATTCCATTTCTAGTGATCGATTTTTTTTTCAGTTCTGTGCTTTGTCGACTATCAAAATCAATTTTCAATTTTCTTTTCTTATTCTCCTCTTGATTCGATATAGACACTCAACATTGAGCAATGCTCTGATGCTTTTTTTATGCTTGTTATATTACGATACGAAATTTTCTTTTCATTTTCGATAAAAATTGAGCAAAAGATTCCCGTATGAATCACATGATTGAGAAAGTGTTGATGAAATTTGTAAAATAAAAATTGAATATTTGTTTGTTTATCAATATGTGAGGAGAGATTTTTTTTTTTTTTTTTTTTGAGAGAGATGAATGTGGAAAAGGAAGGAAAAGATATTTGACTTTAGGGCGTAATAAGAAATTGATGATTTTTTTTTTCTTCTTTCATGTTCTGTGCATACATATTATATGAGGATTCAATAAATTTTTCAATTTTTTATTTTTCACCCTTCTTAAATTTCAATTTTGACCTCAAAAAGTCGTTTTATTTTGGTGCTAGGCAGAATCGCAATAAGGACCATCCTTGGAAGCATTTTTTAACAATACAGCACAAACTCATTCCTTAAACTTTTTCTAGCAATACCAAACCCGATTACTACATCCCTGTCGCTAGCTAAACGAGGAATGAGTAATCAATAAGCATTTTATGTTACAAAATTTAAATTTTATGATCTTTAAACTTTTTTATTCAATTTTCGCATGTTATCCACCCCTTTTTGACCATTTATTGCGTTGAAAGAAGCTTTTTGTTAGAGTAAAAATACCAATTTTGCCTTTATAAATTTTATTTTGTATAGAATATTTTTTATGCAAAGTCAATATATGCATAAATATACAACGAAAAAAAAGAAGAGAGCAAAAAGTCAAGCCCACCTTTTTTCATAGTCTCCCCTATTTTCCTTTTTTCCCAATCTTTGGTAAAGTAGTAAAAGCTATATTTTCCATATGACAACACATAAATAAATATACTTTTATAATACACTTAAATTTGATATCTCTTCGCCTCTTGCTCACTCTCTCTTTTCCTTTTTTTTTACACACAACATGTCTTTAGCTTCAAATTTATCTGAACTTTTTTTTGTGTACATACATTTATATGTGTTGTGGATATAAATATATGAAAACATATAAAAGCAAATAAATAAATAAAAAAAAAATTTTTTTACTGGGATTGATAGCAATTTATACACAAAACCCATGCCATGGAATCATGTACATCAATCAAAAATTTGAAGCGTTTATGCAATGACGACGTTTACCTTCTCTGATATAATTTTTTTTAACCTTTTCCCAGTCCTCCCATCGCCTTGATATGAAAGCAAAAACGAAATGGGGATGAAAAAAAAAGTTTTTTTGTTCACCCCTCATCTCCATTACGGATGCTTCATCCGTGAACGATTTGATAAGCGAAAGGAGAACGACTTGCAACAGGCAACCAAAAAAAAAAAAACAGATTTTTGGAACATCTTGTTTTCTCACTCTAGATTTGAGTAAAAATGAAAATATAGAAGTTTTTTATTCGTTCTTTTATTTTTACTAATAATAAAATTCTTTTCCTGAAAAATTTATTATAACAAAAATGCCGAAAATTTATGGCATGTTTTTTTGTTTTTTGTTTCTTTTACAACGACACCGTTAGAGGCTGTTCGGTTGTTACGTAACGCAATGACTATAACCCCCTCATTTTAGCTTAATTTGTTGTACAGATCAATTATGGCCCGTGGCCTTTTTTGATAACATCCGAACTTAGCTATCGCCAAGTCTAGTATCTATTGTGGTCCATCCTCTTAGATGACATCTGAAGGTAGCTGCCGCTAACCAATAATAAGCTTAGCACACATAACAAGTGAACGACCCCAATTGTTACTCGTGTTATTTATTCTATTTTCGAGCCAAATGGAAACTGTTGCTATTATCAATACAAAGAAGGGAAAGAAGAAAATCGAAGTAACAAAATAAAAATGAATCGCCTGTTAGCGCGACAAATTTTCCTCATTGACGTTGTCGTGGATGTGCGAAAGGTAATGACATTTTTTTATGTATTTTTACTCTCCTCATTTCTTGTATTCGTCAAATATCCAAATAACAAACATATGAAATGGCATCATCTCACACATCATATGGAAGGCTTATTATGTTATTTGCTTCACTTGATGCCTCATGTTTATGATTCACACAAATACACACACACACAATTTTTTACACTTGCGTCTTTTATATTCGCATGTTGAAGGCTTTTATTCTTCTTACTTTTTTTTTCATCGAGTCACACAGAGGAATGTGCAGGAAATAAGAGGAAAAAAATATATATCTAAATGTGGAAAACAGAGATTATTATGAGGAAAATGTGTGGCAGTTTCTTTTCTCTTCGTTTCTTTTGTGTGTTCACTCAAGCCATTATCGTAAAAATAAACGAAAATGATGGAAAATATGAGAAGAAATACATGCATAACACTCCTTACTCCATGATTTTTCCATAATTTTCTCTCACACACAATTTAGGTGAAATTTTTTCTTAGCTCATTTTTTTAGATGAAGAAGATTTGATTATTGGAACTTTTATTTTTTCCTGTGAAGAATGATTTTTCATGTGATTTAGATTCCTGCTTAGAAATTGTTGAATGAGTCATCAAAATGTTTGTTAGAAATTCTATGATGATCTGGGTATTTTAATGAACTTTTTGATGGAGTGTTTTCTGAGGAATTCTGTTCTTGATTTCGATGTCAAGGCGTTTATAGTTTTAGATTTATTCATGACATAAATGGAGGAGGATTTGAAGTTATTGACAGAAGATATTTGAAATTTTCTCTGAGATGGATTTAAAATTGATTGAATAATTTAGATTTTTTAAATTTCAAACCTTTTCCTTTATTGTGGATAGACCCAAGGACCCCGTATGAGAATCAATAAGAGTGCTCAGAACAGTCTAACCTACAGTTAAAAGAACCATGAGGATCGAGGAAGGTCTGAAAATCTTATTTTAATTAACTTTGGAAGGACCTCTCCATTAATATACCAAAAATCCATCAAAGATAGTTCGAATGACAATAAACCATTTCAAACAAAAACAACAAAAATACCCAACCCCCCAAAAAAATGAATTCAACAATTTTCCACAACCCAAATATGCCCCACAATCCAAATATATTCCCTTTCCTCAACAACACTCATTTCATTATTATTATTATTTGTTTTTGTATTTCCTAAAAAAAAACCTAACGCATTCATTCTCGCATATACACATTTTCTTCTTATTCATCTGCTTTTCGTGCTTCACAACAATCAAAATAATTGGACTCTATTTTTATTTAATATTTCTCTCATTTTCGTATTTAATTTTCGGATCATTGAGCATATATTGGATGGAAATTGAAAATAATAAAAAGGAACAAAAAGAAAAACTTTTTATTGGTGAATCAAGAAAAAAATGAACTAAAATATTCGAAAAAAAAGAAAAACTTTTTCTTTTACGCATTACGAAGGAAGACGATAAATAAGAAGGAGAAGTAAAAGCCAATAAACGGTTTTATTTTGCTCAAAGTGTGTGTGTGTCATTATCACTTGACTCTTAATTGCCTCCCCATAAACGAAAACAGAATAGGAAGGAAAAGAAGAAGAGAAAAAAATCGCCTTTTTTGTTTGCATTAGACTTTATTAGATGGATTCATAACATAAGCTCACTACAGAGGTGTAGGAGGTTGTGTTTAGAGAGGGTCCTACTTCGAAAATGAGATATCTGACCTCAAACAGGAGATCTGGCTCCAAAAAAAAAGGTTTGACCTCGAAAAGGAGAAATAAGTTTCGAATTTTTATTTCGAAGGGGAACCAACCCTGCCTACATCCATCCCTCACACTCACTGCTTCACTCGTTTACTCAATTTATGTTTTATTTCCTTCAGTTTTGTCAGTTTACGGATATGTAAGAGATACATTTAACTGACGTTACAGAATTTTTGATACATGCCTGTTTATACAAACATACATCTTTTAAATCCCAAACGCAGATTGATAATCATTTCCAAAGAAAGAAAAAAAAATTAATAAAAAATTCATCATTTTTTTCCTGCTCACATCACAGCGAAAAGCAAACGAAACTGAAAATGACAAGTTTTTTTTCTTACGTATATCCAATAAAATTTCTTTTTCTTTTTCTGTCGTGTATCTTTGGTGACTCAACAGATTTTTTTTCTCCACACTGTGTCGTCTTTTATTTTATATTACAACAGTCATAGGATTTTTCACTTCCTTTTATTTGCTTTTCATTAGAAAACAAACTTTATGTGCTTCAATTGTTCTTTTATCTATCTTTTCACATTCGTTTATTTTATTTTCTTATAGCAACAAAAAGTTTTTATTTTAAAGTTAACAATTTTTTTTAAAGTTTTCTTAATAAACAATTTTAATCTAAAATTTTTTTTCCACAATTTTTTTTTCTTGACTAGAAAGTTTTTCTTTTTTGACTCAACAAATTGAAACAATTTTTCTCCTTACAATTATTAGAAATATTTTTTTTGGGAGTTCAATTAACGAAAAACACAACAGACTCCCGCACAAAAAATTTCATCAAATTTTAAAAATATTATATTTTTATTACAATTCCATAAATTCGTTCATTAAAATTTAATTAAAGTTAATAGTTTATTAATTTTGTTCTTTATTTTTTCACAACAATACAAAGAAAGAATTTTGAAAGATTTACTTTTTATTGTTCGCTTCCTTCTTTCAAAAAAAAACTTTTTTTTTCTATGTTTTAATAATTTTTTTTAAATTTGTTGGAGATATCGTCAAATAACCAACTTAACTGTTTGACTATTTCGCGTCGAACTGAACACACAGTTGGAAAGAACAAAATACACAAACTTTTTTTTTTCTCACTCAGCTGAAGCCTTAATGGAAAATTTTGTTTCTTTTTTCAAATGAGAGAAAATCGAGAGAGACTTGTGTGCTGTGCTGAGAGTAAAATAACGAAATTTTCCTTTCCTTAACAGCTTTGGTTGACGATTTTTGAGAGACATGAGAACGATATCAACAAACGGATTCATAGAGAGGGAGAGAGAATGAGAGATAAAAACAAGGAGAGAGAAATAAAATTGGAAATTTGTGTGAATCACAACAGAAGGTTGCGATATATGCGGATGAAAAGAATGGCAGTAAGAGGAGGGTTGAGTGGGGTGGTATAAATTGTATATCAAGGGGGAGAATAAGAGAGTTGAATGATTGTTGGGAAAATTGTTGCATGAAGTCCACGAGCGCATGCGTTGATAATGCGAAAATATTATAACAAGCAAGCAACAACAACAATGCCTTCATCAAATTTTCATCCTCACAATCTGATACTAACACAATATTATGGAAAAAGAAGAGTCATCTCATTCCACTGTAATTCCGTATGGTTAGGGTTGCTTTATAACCACCACCTTTCCAACATCCCATCGTTCCAACTGACAATATTTCGCAGTTTTTTAACTATCTACACAAATACATATAGCTAGCTATATGTATATATTCGTACACAAACAATCAATGTCTGAATGTCTGATGGCTCTGTTGCTTCGTACTTGAACTCCCCTCGATTCCTTCTTTCCATTCTTTTCTCTCTCTCAACTGTCTCTCTCACTTGTATGTTGTGTGTATATAAAAATTATAGGGATGAAAAATAGGAAGAAGAAAATTTTCATGTTTCAAAAACCCGGAAAATTTTTCATCAGAACTAAAGCCACCCTCACATACACAAGCATGAAAGGGAAAATGCTGTGCATTTTGCATCTTCGAATGTATTGGTTCCGTTTCGTAATAAAAAAAAATAATTTTCATTCAGAATGAACTATACATGCCATTTTTCATGGACATGATACTGAAACTGTTGTTTGGAGAAAATACAAGGGTAGAAAATTCACTTGCAGTTCCAACTCTCTCTCATTCACATTCACTCCATTTCAATTTCACAATAGCTCACCCGGGTCACCCACAAATATTCAGTCTCACTCACTCTCTCACACACATTTCAATATAATTTTCACCTTCTTCCCTCTTTGTTTTATTGTGGACAATCTATTCCACTTGCTATGTTTGTGTCTTTATGCAATTTCCATTCTATTCCGTGATGGAAACTTTTTTTTATCGTTCCCCATTGTTGTTGTTTCATTTCCTCAAAAGTATTCTTCTTCTTCTTTGCTTGTTCGATCGTTTCATCCCTCATTCATTTCATAGTCAATTTTAGTTTGTATGTTGATGATGTTATTCGCTTTCAATTGATACACACGTAGTTGAATTTACACAAGCGACGTCTAGTGGCCGACAGTTGAAACTTAATATTTCATGTACATTGTTTTTGATATTGAAAAAAAAAAGCCGAAAAAAAATTATTTTTATTTTCGAAACATTCCATATCCACTAGCAACAATAATAATAGATTCCGTTCATTCAACCCCTATTGAAAACTGAGTGTGTATATGTGTGTGCATATATTTAAAAGTCGCAAATCACCCCCTTCAATCATGATGACTAAACCGAAGGGAGAAACAGAGAGACTGAAAATGAATAAGCGAAAAGGAAGCAAGAAAAAGGAAAAATACATAAAGTACACCAAAAATTGTACATACGTATGTATAATTCCACATCCACCCTCGGCTTTTTAGTTGTGATTTTTATAGATGAAGAAAAAGAGCCGTCGAACTCGTAAAAAAAAGTATGCAGAAGGTAGGAAATTTTCATTTTGAGCAATACACGAGGGGTCGTATTATTCTTCATACACAACTTATAGTTAGGATTTCTCTTTATTCACTTTCAAAAAAAAAAAAGAATGATATTTTCCTGTTCAGCATCGAATTATTGCAATTGTGTGCGTTTTATGCGATAGTACATCATAAACAAAAATTAAAAACATTAAAAAGGGGGATGAAGAACGCATACCGACCGTTGTATTTTTACTAGCTCTGCAAAATAATATTAATATAGCGTTTTATGTTTGTAGTATCGAGACGTTGTGTTTTTTAAAAATAAAGAGGGGTTGCCAGGAAAATATGGTTTTTACCATTCTAGGTAGCATTTGTGGATTATGTAATGTATTGTGTGTCTAAATTAGATAAAAAATAATAATTTCATGACGATGCTGCATCATCAGTTTTATAAGATTACGTATGTTTGCATAAAGTTTTTCGTTATTTTCTTGAAGGAAGCAATTGACGTAATTCGGAAATGCTACCTCCAGTAACTTATGTAAAATAGAACTGTTCACATATTGCGTTACATTAAAAATAATTTTTAAGCTCTATCCTTCCTTTATGACTACAAAATTTCAATATTATTTAGCCTCTAATCCCCCCTCCTCCACCCTCTTCCACTATTTCCTATTTAGAATGAAAATGCGTTTCGATATGCCATTAATATTATTTCATGCAATCATGTTGTGAGCTGTTACCAGTCGTGCTATTGTCGAATCTTCCCTTGCTTTTCCTTCCCTCAATAACTTCATCGAACAAGGCCTCGGTGAATGAACGGGAAGAAGAAAAGATATAAAGCATTTTGAAAGCTTCCGAAAATGATTCTTTCATTCAATTCTGTGGCCTTTATTTTTCTATTTCCCATTTTTTTTTTTGCTTGCTGTCGCGTGTGCACTTGGGTATATAAATGGATAAGTAAAGATGAAAAATTGAAATGAAAGTTAAATTTTTCTCAGTCATTATCCGAACACTGCACTACATCCCCTGGATTGTAAAATCGTCGTCGTCATCATAAAAATGTATGAAAACCAAACATAAAAATTATTTTTATAAGAAATAGAAGAAAAAAGATGAAAATAAGCGACATTCATGCAGCATAATATTTATTTTTATTCCTGTATAAAAAATGACGAGAATGAGTTAAAGTTGAGTTGGGTAAAGTGTTTGCACAACGACAAACGTTTTCATATTCTTATTTTTTGAAATTTCTTCTCTCCATAACTCCCTACGTTTCATAAATATATGTGTTTGTGTGTGCTGGATCGAGATAGAAGGAGAAAGAGAATGAAAAAGATAAATCAAGTAGAAATGTGATGAGATGTTTACATACTGGTTTCATTAAAGTAGTTTTTTCCTGACATGATAAGGTAGACAAATTCAATTCTTACTTTATTTAAAAGGCTCGTTTACTTTTGGTGTCCATTTGAGGATGTAGGATTTAAGAAGTAAACAAAATTTTAGTACTTTTCAGACATCATAAGTGAACGATCCCTTGAAAGAAGCCACAAAAAGAAAGATTGACATTGAAAAGCTTCTAGAAATTCCCCCTTGTCGTCTCCTCTTGTTATTAAGTTACATTGTTATACCAAGAAGGTAGGAGAGTCTTAATTAATTATTAACAAAAACATGCAAATAAGAAACAAGCAGGCACCACCTAATGAATGGTCACGGTGGTCGATTTTTATCCAGAAATTTAGTTCTTCAACCGGAAGTTTGCCAAACAGAATATCATTGTCTCGAGGGAGTGAGACATTAAAAAATATAGATATCAATTTTACCTTGAAATTATACATTGGGTTGAAAATCAACTCAAATTCTAAAATAAAGAGCGCAAAAATCATTCAAAATGTATGCAAATTTTTTGGTATAGCTTCGAGGGAGGATATACATTATACATCCAACACACACCTGCCAATATCAACATCCTCAATTGGAAAGCAAACGTAATGGAGAAAAAAAAAGTTTGCAGACTGAATCAGAAATGAGAGATGAGAGACTAAGAGACTCTTAAGCCGCAAATCATTATAATTAGAGTTTTAGAATTTTTACAGTGAATTTTATACACATTTTTTTATTTTTTGCCAGACATCGTCTATACACGCAACGGAGAGAAAGGAAGAAAATAAATTTCGTGTTGTTTGCAAAAGTGGATGGCAAAACAACAACAAGCGACCAGATTTTTGAGTAAAGAATTAAAATTTATTCTTCTGATCTCATTTTTTAATACACGAACGGATGGAAGCTATGGTAACCCAACAACAGTACATAAGAACAAGGCAACAGAGAGCAATTGAGACTGAAAAAAAATTGGGAATAAGGAAAGGAAAAGGAATAAAAAGATGAAATAAATAAGAATACTTATAAAATCTCTCACTTGAGACTCATCATATTTTTATGTGTGTATGAAAATAAATATGAGGATTGAAACAAGAAACTGATTTATGTACATAAGAAAATAAATTCATAAAAAAGGATCAACGTCTTTAGGTTAGTTTATAAATGACGACTGTCGAAATTATAGTTTAAGACCTCTTGTGTGGCTAAACAGACAAAGCTTTGGATTTAATTAAATAAATCAGAACAGCATTAGAACCCCTTTTATTATTTAAATGTAAGCCATCATTTACGAATGACCCAATTGCATAGTAAAAGAAAAAAACATAATTCCTTTGTAATCAATAGAAATCCCTCAGCTCAGACAAGTTCTATTGTTCAACAATGCGTAAGAACAAAACAATAACCTGATGGAAATTTAATCATTTTAAAAAGTTAATAAAAAAAATGAATCCTCGGTAATATAGTGGTGAGTATCTGTTAAATTTCCTAAGAAATTTAATTTCTTGTTTAAACCAATTTAACGGAATTTAATTATAGCTCGAAAAAAAGAATATTCATGTCATGATCATTTTTATTTTATTACTTTTTCGACATAAAACTTCGCACTTCTCTTTTTTCGGTTCTTTTTTTATGACCGTATCATTTAGAACTTTATATTATTTCTCTTCCATTCGCCCTCATATCATTAAACTTCTTCCTCCCTTATATACTGTTTTTTTGTTGTCTGCGAAACCTTATGAAGCCTTGAAAATGAGCCATGAAAATGAAAGCAAAAAAAAAACTAAATTAAAACCACACGATGTCTGCATATGTATGTGGACATATGGAACGAGTCACAAACAGCTGATTTTTTAGAAGAATATTGAATTAAGAATTTTATAGCTTGATGCTTGTAAATTAATGATTATTCGATACTTTATTTAAGGGCAATACGGGTAGTAACAGCAGCCGAAAGGAACCTTAAAACATTTCTACCCGCTTGCATCGTAAAAAAATGAATTCTCCGTTCAGTTTCCTTTCTTCGATGATTTCTTACGAAAAATGTACAATTTTTATGACTATGTGATGCTTCTGAGAAACTTAAAAACTTCTTCTTCTATTCCTGTTCTTTTCTTCTTTCTCTGTCGCTTTGTTCGTGAACATTCTCGAGACATCACTGAACTTTTTTTTCTCTCTCTACACTTTACTTACTTTTTTCGGTTCTTCTTCATTGCAAACGCATATCTTTAACTTTTTTTTTTGTTTCAACTACCTGACATCGACAAGATATATGGAATAGATGTTAAAAGGAAGGGAAACATGTTAATTCTACACATACATGCCCACCATTCATTCATGCATATAGATGATTTTTTAAAATGTAAGGATCTGCATACTTTTACAGATCCTACGTGTATATCCTTTTAAAAACACAAGAAAGCAGCAACAAAAAAAATAAGTTCACATATTTATATCTAAAGTAGTAACATTCGTGTTTGGAGAGAACATAAAAAATGGAAAAAGGATTTGTGCTGTTATTTATTTAAAATCCATATCTTATGAGGGTTAGCAACAAATTTAAATTTTTGCTTTTCCTTTTTCTCCTCGTCCTCGAGAGCAGTAGATTCACCTCCCATCTATTTCACCGTTTTCATTCATCCTTCGTCACCATCAATAAGAGGAGTTGTTCCTTCTTCTTCACATTTTATTTTCCATTTATTTTCTTGCCATCATGAATTTATTCATAAGTACAGAAAAAGTTTTCAGCTCCCCCACCTTAGCAATATTTTTTTTAAATTTATTTTATTTTTTATGTACTTGTTCATACTGTTGCTATACACGCAGTGTTTGTGCCTTACTGAGCGATACTATTATTTTTTTTTTTTTTGAAATCAACTTAAATTAAAAATAATGAAATAAATAGTAATAAATTGATTTTCTGGATTTCATACCGAAAAAACAACGCATCATAAAGGAAGGGAGATGATGAAGAGGATATAAGGTTTAGAATATTATGGAAATTTGATGGTATATTTTGTGGAGATTGTGTATTGTGACTAGCTAGGTGGTACTTAGTCTTAAGCTGTGAATTTTTTAGGGACGGGAGGATTATAAACTCTTATAAGCTTCAACCCCCACCAAACCACCTTAAAAATTCTATAATCACTTAAAAATTGAAAACAAAGCTGGTCAACTTTTTGATCCTTAAGAGAGTTTGAAGTCTAGGGAAGTCTAGTTAAGTCGACTCGAACTATCTCGACTTTGAGCTCTTCTCAGTCTAGACTGGCATTCATGAAGAATACAGATCTAAGAATCCCAAAACAACAAATTAATACAATTACAGTTGCTAAGCCTTAAACATATTACGTGCAACACTTTTTCAACTCCCAACAAATTGGTTTAGATCGTTAGAAATTCATAAACAGGTTTAAAAGAAATTTTTCCATTCCTTTCTTGTTTCATTGATGCTGTTTCATTTTTCTTTTTTTTTCTCATTTGAAAAGAAATATAACATTTTTTTTCGACTTCCAACGGAAAGCTACACATAAATTGATATTAAATTCTTATGGAAAACATATTCAATGTATAAACATATTCACAAGACTATTAGTATTCACACTCAATTGGGGGGATGTAGCGCTATATAGCGGGGAATCTACGTGACATGTAATGTGTGTTACCCCAAAATAATACAGTACTATATACTTTAAGTCTGATATCTTTTCATTCCACCTACATCAATCACAATTTGTCATTAATCTTCTTCGTTTCTCTTTTCTTATTGTTGATGCTGATATTTTTCATGATGTTCATGTTCATTTATTGTCTAAATGGTATGAATATCTATCTATAAAGAGATATAAATTGTGTTTTATGTTTTATGAGGTAAACTTAAACCCTGCATCCTTGAATGTTGGAATAGTAAAGAATTGTACAAAGAGAGATGAAATACCTTACTAACTCTATACACACAATTTAAGTCTGATGATGGCACATTTAAGGAGAAAGAAAACATTTTACTATACGTATTGTATTTATATAATATTTTTTTCATTAATTTTCATCATCATCTATCTCTTCATCATCTCCTTATGCTGTAAATAAATCTAAAGTAGATATATACCAAATGAAAGAATAACTACAAAAGATTGGTGTTCGTAGATAACAGCATAAAAAAGGGAGCCAAAATAAAGGGAAAATTCATTATGTTGAATGTCTTGGAACTCTATTCTAGTAAATCATACACACACACACACACATGATATAAAAGCTGGTATCTTTGCTATATAACAAAGGAAAGATTTGTGAAAGGTTCATTTTTTAGCGTGTTTTATGACTCAGGATGTGTGTTTTATGGTGTGGATGTGAGGATTCAAGGATATAACTAAGATTTATTTTTTATGTAGATCCAAATCGATTGAACCTGATTAGATCAGTGGATGTTCGGTATTATTAGACCTACATACCCAACTCTAACATCCTATAAAATTATAGGATATGAAAAAATTATTCTGGAATCTTAACAATTTATGGATAGATTTATTAAATCCCAACAAAATCAAATCAAAATCTTAAACATGATAATAAAAGATTACAACATCATCTTTTAATATAACAAAGAATATTTCTGTGATATCTTCAGAACTAGCAATAAAAAGCTATAATTCCTACTCTTTATACATTTAAAAAAAACTTTCTAGTCATTCATCACAATAAGGCGAGAATTTCAAAAGATAGAAATGAAATCATATTTAAGGAGAGAATTCTTGTATTGTGTTGATTTAATATAATTTCATATCTCCACAAATGCACGACTAAAAGCCTCCCTCTTGCCGCTATAAAATGTTGTTTTTTCATTTTATTTTGTAGAAGAAAAAAAAATCATTCCATGGATATCCGACTCGTTTGTTAAATCAATTATTGTTTAGGAATCCATAGGCACATAGACGGAATTTACTTTTTTTCAAAAAATAAAGAATTGTAGATGAAATTGAAATTTTTTTCTGCTTCATCCCTTTTTTTCACCCCAACATCGAACATCGAAAGGGAAAAAAAAATGTGTCTGGCTGAAAAGAACGAGCGATTTTTCAATTTCTGAAGTTCCTCGAACGTGGAGGATTTAAGCATGCACAGAAAAAAAAGAAATTGTAGCAACAACGACTTCAATACCTTTTTGCTGTTTACCAAAGCAACCGACAATGGTGTTCAATGTTATTCATTGCTTTGGATCACAAAAATATTCGATTCTGAAATGTCGATATGAATAAGGGCAAGGCACAGCAACCCTTCCAGCCATTTATTTACTCTCGTTTTTCTTTGTTTTATGCGAATATACATGCATAAATTTTTGTGTTTTTGTTCATGAAAAAGAGAACATAAAAAAAAAACTGACGGTTAAAAGTTTTGTTTGTAAGGTAATGAATTATTCAAGTCGGTTCGAGGTTTTCACTAAAACTCTTCCTCTTCTTTCATTACTATTATTCTTTTTTTGGGATTGTTAGACAGAAAAAAGGAAAGAAAAAATTTATTTTTTCTCTACTTTACATATTAAAAATTAAATGACTTTTCAGTACTTTCGATTTTCTTTGTAGGATTTTTGCAGTCATGAACATGAAATATGTGTAAATTCATAATGATTATGAATATAAAATGGGGTTTTTGGTAGAACTTTTTATTCATCATTTTTTGAACCCCTTTTTTTGCCTCCTACAATATCATAATTCCTCATATTCTGCGGTATTTTAATAAACCTTTTCACAACTTTATGGCTGTGTACTTAGTTTTTGCTAGGAGATTATTACTATGAATGCAGTGTTGTGAATTGAGACGTGCGAGAAAGGTGGGATTGCTGGAAAATTGAGTCTGGAGGTCGTTCAACTTTACAGAAAGAGGGGGGAGTTCTGTGGATGTGTGATAGCTTCATCCTTTAAATGTACGACATGTGAATGATTTTCTTTAGGGACCTGACGCTTCTTTCTACTAGCATTGCCCTTAAAACCGGAAGCATCTAAAATCTTTCGTTAGAATACCCCTAAGCTATCCCTAGAAGTGAAACTAGAGTATGCTCTAAAAATTCTAAGTATTTTTATGCATTTAGTTTCAGAATCTAGCTAATATGCAAAGCCAA